CGTATTAGTGAATGTGTATTATGTAGGCACGTTTGGCAGCCAATTTGAACACAGCATGGTGTTTAAAGAGTCATGAAGTGAATGATCATTTTTTATCTGGGGGATTGTTGGCCAGGACAGTTCACAGTGGAGCAACGTTTAAGAAAAACCTAATGACTTTCAATCTAATTTTGTCAGCTGGATAATGGGAAGACGTCCAGAATACACTGATCCTAAAGTGGTTGCACAGGGAGATGGAAGAGAAGGTATGATTTTTTTCCCCAATGTTTGTATAGGATGAAAAAAGTTGTAACTTTTTTTTAAATTGACACTGGAGGGATGTGGACATATTGGGCAGAGAAGTTTCCTTGTCAACACATGCCCCAAATAAAAAAATGGTCACTCACACCTTGGCTGTTTGTGGGGCATTTCTGTGGGGAAACATGTTGTCCACAAAATAAGTCAATCCACCTTACAGTATATCTTCTGAAGCAATTGGAGACATCAACAATGTGATAAGGCACTATATATATATTATATATAATAATCTCACTGTTGGTGCCGCTCATAAGGTCTGTGCACCCAGCATCATCTCAAATAGTGATAAATAATGGAGTCTTAGTGAGTAGACCTGGTGTCATGTAAGTAGCACAGGGGAAGAATGCATAAATAACCATTAAACTTTTTTGTGATTTCCAATAGTGGCCAAAGACGCACCTGAATATTTCTCCAGAATTGTTTTTGTGATTATCAGACCAGCAAGAAAAAAAATCTAATTTCTTGTTGTGAAAACTCATGTATTTTTTGTTTTTCAGTTACTAGGGTCAAATCACAAGGATATGTTACACTCTCATTCAATATGGTCACCAGAGATATGAAGAAGCTTGGCTATGACTCAGGCCCAATTGATGGGTCAAATCCTCAAGTGGTATCTATCTCTGATCTCTCAACTCTCTCAATTAGAGCATAACTAGCTCTCCTGACTACAGATACTGACACACCAAGTGACTGGTACAAAGTATTGTCCCCCCCCCCCAGCCATAACTGTCTGTTACCAACTTTGACTTGAGTACATTTTTATACTTTAGATTAATAATTGAAACAGTGCACTTTAATTTTAAATTACACTACAAATTTAAGATCCAATTTTGCATGTCTGGTGAAAATGTTGCATGTACTAGCAATGTTTTATATGTAATAATAATGTATGTAATAAATTCATATTTAGTTAAATCTGGTCCACCAAATTATTCAGATGTACTTTGTTGTCCACCTCAGATTATAGCCAATAGAAAAACTATTCATCATAAGGCACAACCAACACCTTATCAGATTGTCTCAAAGATGATTTTCTAATGGTGTCTTGGCATCTTACAACATTTACATGAAAAGGCAGACAACCTCAGTTTGACATCCAACAAGACATTAATAATGCTTTTTTTTGTATTGCGCTGGAATATGTCTTAAAATAAATCCATAACCTTCTAACCCAGCAGTAAGAGTACGACAGTACCAACTGAACAAGGCAGACCCTTGGAACCTGCAGGGAAATTGTAATAATGTGTTAAACCCAGATCAACATCTTTATGGCTGTAAAATAAGCTTGAACAACAACAATTATTTAATTTCATTATTTAAGCAAGAGCCCCCTGATCTTTACTGCTGTTGAAATGATAAACATTTGTGTGACTTTCTACAAAACCATTACATAGAAAATAAAACACAGAACATATGTTACAATAATATGATAAATTATATTATACAACAACTGGGTACAAATTCCATAAAAGCAGCCTGCTCCCAGCATCATTAATGAGTTTGGTAAATTACAGAATGTAGTATATGAAAAGATAGGTTACTCACCATTAGGTGTAGTATTTCTCATTCTTGAAATCAAGTTATCCTTTGCATACCATAACAAAGGTGAGCTAAACAACCGAGAAATCACAGTAGTATCTTGATCTGTTTAACCAGAACCCAAGTGACTTCCCCTTTCTCACTCCCTCACAAAAATGTCCCTCAACAACACATTTACATTGTTCCTTTCACATGAGCGCTAGTTGAAGTTTTCATCAGAGCTGAGGGGTGGATTCAGGAGGAAGGTGACCAATCGAAGAACAAGGTCTTGAGGTACAGGGAACTGAATGGAGTTCCAAAGAGTGGGAGTAGATAAGCTGAAAACCCAACATTAACAGGCCAGTGCCTGCAGTGTGGTGAGAGCAGTCAGGTTGATAAAAGTTTAAGAAAGATGCAGAGGCAAAAATGTGGAGGGATTTAAAAGTGAGGATAGGATCTTGAATATTATATTCTGGGGGATGGGGGAGATAGGCTCACAGAGTCTTGTGATGGAGGGAAGAGTTGTGAAATCTGAAAAGCAGGACATTAAAGAAACAAAAGGCCTATTTTTCCATCTGTTGCACATTTCTGTGTAGCAATTCACTGACTAATAAATAGCCATGACACAAAGTTGTGAAGTCCAAAGTGACTCCAACAGTATCACCTTCACTGACTACTCAGATGTACTCTGATGGTTTAATGGTACAATAATGGTGGACTGATAGTCAGCTAACAACCTAATAACTGAATAGATGAGCAGCAATTTCTAACAGGATTCCTTAATCAAGGTGATGAAATTCCAATTTCTTTAATTAAAGAATCCTGGTAGAAATGTTATATTATGCACCCAGCTGGTAATGCTCTTACATGCATTTAACAACCTTGATATACATATTTATTGAGATACGAGATGTGTATATCTAATCAACAGAATGAGCCAACTCTTCAGATAGACATTTCTAACACATGCTAACTAACTAGAATCTTGGTAGAATTTTAGAATAAAAATAAGTTCATCAAACGAGGTAATATTCTATTCCTAATTGCCTGCTCTCCCCCCTCATGCTCTTTTCTATTTTTCATCATTAAATGTTTCATATCAATGATTTTATACAATATTAGACATTCTAACTTTCTCTGAAACAAGGACATATAACACACTCTTGTATTTGTGCAGTGGGAATCCACATTTGGAAGAAAATATACTGCTCAATTATGATTCCTATTGTAAATTACCAAGTCTGACATTATCAATATTCTTTGATACCGTATAGGTAAAAAACATGGCTATTACAAGAAACATGCAATCCCATTTTGTTTCTAGTCACTTGCCTTCAGGGAACTTGAACGTTGAGTGGTATGGAGATCTAAGATTGTACCCAGTGTTTAACTGCTGAGCTGTTAATCTCAGTCTCAATGTCCTGGAGCAGGAAGGGAAGAACCATTCTGGTTCAGAAGACCATTCACAAGACCATTCTGACACAATGAGACCTAGAGGGAAGCTACTTGTCAACCCCTCTAGCTTGCAGGGAAACCTGAATAACAGGAAGAAGCATTTTTTTGCTTTTTTTTATGGGTGGGTGGGAATGGGGTGGGGGCAGTCGGGAGAGAAAAGAATAAGGGAAACTAGTTACCAAAAATTGCTTTGAATTTTGGCAGTCACTGTATTAATGTAAATCCTCGGTTATCTTGAGAATATCTGAATCAAATGCATCAAAATGAATTAGCAAAATAAAAATAATTTCATTTTATTTACAAAATCCAGGAATTTTAAATCACAAAAATTATTCGTGAACTTTTACTTTTAGAGTGGTGACAATTTTCAAAGTGACTCAAGTCTTGTGCAACTCCCACTGTCATAAATGTAATTTACTAATTGACATATTTCCCCAAATAGAAGATGGAAATATGTCAAGTCAATTTTTTCCCCAAATAGAAGATGGAAATAGGTCAAGTCAATTTTTTCCCAATAGAAGATGGAAATAGGTCAAGTCAATTTTTTTAGAATAAAAATACAGTTTGTAAAACTAGTGCATATCACATAATAGACCATGCATGCCAAAGGGGTAGAAATGCAAATACAAGCAGAAAAGTTGTTTTTGAGAAACAATAGAAAATGCTATATTTTAGTTTTTGTTATTTCTGTTACATTCATGCCAATAATAAAAAGCACTGCCAGTTGAGGTAGTTTTGCTGTGACAATGCTGCTCAATCTGAATACCAATAAGATTGGCTAGATGACTCAGTTCCAATATATTTTCTATTATCTACCTCCTATGAAGGGAATTTTCTTCAAAGTTCTGGAATTTAGACATTTCAAGGCCCATTAGAAATCTACAAAACGTGTTCAATCTTCTTTCCTGTTTTTGCATTAGAAAAGCCAGTCTGGGTAGGGTTAAACAAGCAATTGAGGTGCAATTAGAAGCAATAGGTAACCCTGATAAAAATTGAGTACTAAAACCAGATTGAAAGTTAACATCTCACATGCTTCATTCTTTCCTCACTACCTACAGCAACAAAAACATCCTATCTACGACTATCTCGGACTATACTGAAGAAGCACAATCATTTGGAATATTTTCTTTATAAAGAGCTTGTCAGCCTTGATTTTTTGAATATATAAAATTTAGCCATCAATGGTACAATGGTGCTAAAGGAAGTCGTCAGGAGCACAAGCATTTCTTCTTCCAGGTTCGTCTAATTTTTTCGTTTAGGGCCACAATCAATATCAATGTCTTGTTCAAGAACCACTCTGGAATGCTGCAACAGATTGTTGGGATATGTGCCTGCACCTCAGTGAACTCTTGGTTTCAATTATGTCACAACACATAGGCACTATCCCACAGGAAGAAGAAAAAAAATTGTTGGACAAATAGCTTCTCGGAAATTGTTTGCTTTATGGAAACTGATAGGCTTGCCTCCTAATAGTATTATTTTGCTTTCCTTTACTAAGAGTACAAAAAGGAGAGAATTGTATTGAATTTCAGCTTACCTAGCATTCAATATCAACATATCATGAATGAAAGCTCCAGAGACAAGTGTGACAGCAAATCTACTAAACGTCACAGGTCAACGGGAGCTACAGATAGACTCCAAGTGTAAAAGATAAACTTTTTCAAGATATGTCACAATAAGGCATAGTTAGAGCACAAATTATGGTGGTGACAGGATTCCGCAGCCACCATATCAAAATGGAAAAAGATGCAAATGTATGTTGGGGTATGTGGTGAAAAAATGCATAATGTTCCATCACAAGAAGGGGAAGTCACATAGGTTCCAACTGGTAAACCTTTCAGGCGTCACATTCTTGAAATTTCCCAGAAGCATGGCTTCCTTAATCTATGGTATGTTAAAGGTAATACATACAAAAGTATTTAATGTTAAAAATGTATAAATGACCATTTAAAATACTACCATAACAATTTCTATAATAAAATATTAGTAGATAGCTACAGTACACTTGAAATACAAATAACAGATACCGAAAACAGACCAAACATAACATTTATGCAGTTATGTAACAGCAAAGAAATTTTACAGTACAGGGTGGAAACACTTCTGACATTACAAATCTTACCAGAAGCTTTGTATAAAATTTAGTGACTAAATGCAAGGCTACAAGTAGTGGCTACATTCTTAGCATGCATACTCTCACACACTCACATGCACCCTTCCAAAATCTTGAAATAAATTCAAAATATCTGGAATTACTCAAATATAAATATATTATGTGTTGTGACTCAACAGGGATAGCTTTTTGAATGAACAACTTAACAGAAATTTTGTTTTGGGTCATCTACATATTTGGCATGTAGATAACCTGCATAAAAAAATGCAAGCTAAAGTGTCAAAATAACTTCACAAATCTGAAAATATTCTGTTATAAAATGTGCCATACTATCTGTAGTAATGCCAAAAATATTTTTGTATAAGGTGCACACTAATGTAGCCAGTGTATGTCATCACTAGACAAATTAGTTTGATAAACTAATTCTTATATTTTTCATACCTTGCTATCTTTAAGCAGAAGAACTACTGGAGCTCATCATTTCACTTAGATGTGGATAACACGTGACACAAACCAATGTCATTAAAATCTGTTAATAGAGATCTATCTGTGCAGGTTAAAACTTGTATGCTAGCAGAAAAATATGGACTTGCTCATAATGGTTAACCAATATGAGTAAGTTATGGACATCAAATTATTTTCTTTAGAATAAAATAACTAATGAGCAAAACTAAAGTTTCTACTTCTCCCTTTAAGTGGGTGTAGGATGCTATTCTCCAAGAGCTATTTGCTAGTCAAATTACAAAGTGCACCAGCACCAGCTGCAAAGAAAAATGCAGAACGTTAATTTTGCCATTTTTGCACTTTAAAGAGAAGTGAAATTCTAAATTTGCTCAGCCATGAAATTTAAAGTTAAAACAAATATTTTGCCTTTATTTGTGAAGTGTGCACACAATGATAAAAGCAATACGTGAGTTGGGTGTTGTCTATGCATTTAAATTGCTGAAATGAAAGGAACTAACTGCTTATTAACATTTGTGCATAGTAATTTACTATTAAGCCATCTGCTAGCCAGTCTTTCATCCAACAGAAATCAGCTTGCAATTGATTATAACTGTTCATAAACTGCTATGCACTTAGCTTTGAACCCACATGACATACTGAACATAATATGCAAATACACTTACATTCATTGGATTCCCTTTTCTCTTTCTAAAACAAAGATCTTAATCTTTCTTGCAATAACAATGAAAACATACAATCTCGGGCCATATATTTCATGGCACCTGTCAATGCAACATTTTAAAGCAGATTTTTTAAAAAGAAAGTTTGCAAAATTCTAACATTCTAAATAAAACCTTAAAAACATTATCAAACTTGTAAACTGCAATATGGTTTCAAATGACAAACTTGTAATATTCTTCTATTTAACCTTAACATGAGACCACCTTGAAGAAAGGAAGCTGTGCAAAGTTTCCAGGATTAACTACATCTGCCAATGTTCAAATTGAAATTGCTTAATGTTTGCTGTACTTACAAAAATAAATGAAATGAAAAGCTTCTAAATTCTGAAGTTACATTGATGTAAACTCTATACTAAATGTTTATTTTATCACCATGCATCTATTTTGTTGTATTAACAAAGGTGAACAATACAACCTTACACCTGGACAAGTGTTATTAAATATTCTAGAGAAGAATAGCAATTCCCATTATTAGCAAGTCCTAAAATTTCAATTATGGAAATAGACTGATCCATGCAACTTTCCACCCACTTAAAAAATTGTTCTTCACAATATTTATTCTAACTTTTGCTAGATGTTTATTCATCATCTGAGGCAATACTTTAATGATCAAATCACTTTACAATGGATTTCAATCCTATCAGTGTTATGTTTAATAAAATATAACTGATACCATCTGATTAACTGGTATCCAGTGCCCAGAGCATGATTTCAAGCAGTGATAAAAGGTGCATGCAACAGTCTTATGCTTAAACATTTTGTGCAATAGCATATTTAGAACACAGCACATTAAAAATGTAGCTATCCTCACAGGTTTACAAAATTATTTTTAATTCATCAGCTTTGAGCCTAGGGTGCGTAGTATAGTTATGCTATAATTATCCTTATTCAAAACCGCTTATCATTGACCAAAAGTAAACTTCCAATTCCCAAAACAGTCACTAAGGCTTTCATAATTTACTTTCTTTGAAGAAGCAGGTCAAATATCAATTATCTGCAAAGTATGCAAAAACAGAGTAAACAGTGAATATACCACACAACACTATGTTACCTTTGGACAAACTGTAATATGCACTTAAGGATTGGAGGATACAATAGGCGTAAATATTAGATTCACGTTACTACTGTTCAACTAAATGTCCAGTCACTGTACGATACCTCCATTGGCAGCAAATAGCTTCTTTAGAAAACAGTGAAAATTAACCACCATCAATACGTACTTCATAAAAAACAGTACAGTAAAATCCAAACCTACTTTGAAGAGTTTCTCACCACACCCATAAATGTAGTCTAAAATGCTTAGCTATACTCCTATCTAGGTTTTCTCTTTATATTGAAGACATATCCTCTAGTCTTTTTATAAAAGGAAAGGATTAGTCGTACTAGAGGTCTGGTTTGTAGGTGGAAGGATGCCTGTTGATATAAGTTGTTGGGGCATTGTTCCCACAGTGTTCATTCCTGTACCAATCCTACCCATAACTGGAACAGAAACCATGCCCATTGCCATTGGTGCCGACAAGGAGGTGCGTGGCATTGGGTCCAGGTTGACTGTAGACATGCTGCCAAACGCAGGCTGCCCAGAAGCCATTAAGGGGCTTCCCCGCATTTGATTCAGGGTAGGAGGCTGTGGCTGGTTAACTTGGAAGGGATTAATTTGAGTGACCTGGACAGGGGTTGGACCTACAAAAAACACAAAGTTACAATCGGTCATCAGTGAAATCATTTTGCAGGACAGACACACACAAACACACACACAAAGACAAATCAGATAAGCCAATTTAACTGCTTCAGATTATAACATCTGCTGCACATCATAAACTGAAAATTGTTTTTCTAGTATCACGATAGCAGACAGCAGAAATGTTAAAATACACGGTAAAGAAAAAATCTAAATGAAACTAATGCTAAATAAATGCATTTGCATTTTAAATGCATTGCAGCACTCCAAAGGAAACTTGTAGGTACACACTGGTGCACAATCAAAAGAGGCATACCAAAGCAACACAGTCCCTGAAAGTAAAATTAAAGAATGGGGTTTGCTATCAAAATAAATAATTGTCATTCAAATTTTAAATTTGCACATTTTCTTTAACAGACAGGCTCCAATTTTACTTTCCTCTTTCTGTGAAAATGAAGTCACTTTCCTTGATAGAGTTTAAAAATCAGAAGAGACACAATTAGGAAAATTGGCAAATGACAGAGACTTTGTTCAAAGAATAATCCTACCATGCATACTGAGTAATCTACTTTTTTCATTTTTTTTCACACACCTTTAAAAGTACCTGCCTGTCTGACAACAATAGGGGAGCCTCGTTTGTCCACAACAATGTGGATTACTTTGGGGGTGTAATACAGAAATCAGTGCTATTCTTGTCCATGTGGATCTTTAGTCTTTTGAGAAAATAACTGAGTTTGACTCTGACCCACTGAAAGTGAACGTCATTGAGAAGAGGTGTTAAAAAAATCCATAATAAAATATCACTTATAATATATCTGGCGTTACACTACTTCCATTCCTGTCTAATCAAAAACCATTTTTTTGTCTATTGCAGAAAAAGTACTGTTATAGCTGTAAACATTTAATAACATAAGTCAAATGCAAAAATTATTATGAAATATTTAATAGATTTTAAACTATCAATGACCTTGTCCTTTTTACACAATACAGCTAAGAAACAAAGAAAGTCAAGTCTAAGAAAACAAACAGAATATTGTGGTGCAAGGAAATCTGAGGAAAAAAGTTACCGTACTCATGTTCTGTAGAGCAGATAGAGCTACAGTAATAAATGTAGTAAGAACAACAAAGCACATTTCCCGAGCTCTCATGAAAGAGTAACTATAACAATGATTTGAACAGGTATTGATTTGTGAAAAAGATCATAGAATCGGTCTGGATAAACAAGGCTCTTCAGCCCATCTGATTTCATCTGTCAAGAACACCCACCCTACATCCTCCCATCACTGCACCAAGTTGCTTTTTAACTGAGTCTCGTGCCCTCTATCACCTTTCCTGACAGCCTGTTCCTGTCGTTGATTACCCTCTGTGTAAAGAAATACTTCCTGCATTTGTCCTGAAATTGCCCTTCACAACTCTAAACCATTGTCCTCTTGTTCTACCCTAATGAAGCATCTTAAGGTATTGATCTGGCTTTACTTCTACAAACCCATTTAAAATTCTGTACACCTCCATGAGGTCTCTCCGAGTCATCCTCTTTCAAGACTGATGAGCCCTAGCTTATCTAGTTGTTACTCATTACTGAAATTCTGGAATTGAATGACATCTGATTAACAATAGAATTACCTTATTGAAATCTGGCAATTAAAAAATGTTTTTGAAAATTGCTAACTCAACAGCTGCTTTCCAACACACATTCAATAAATATACAGGAAACAGAAACAAATCCTGTACAATATAAAATAATCATACAATAACCCTGTTACCAAAAACGAGTTGTGATTTATGGAGGAATAGCGCCACAGTTCAAAATATGAAGCAAAGTTCAGTGTACTTCTGCAGTTCATACCTGGAGCTAAAAAAGGATTAGATACACTGGAAAGTTGTGAAGGCGTGGAAACCAGTGAATTCAAATTCACCAGGGCTGCATTGGGGCCCAGGAAGGACTCTGGTATTTTCCGAGTTGTGGGCTGAGCATCAAATAAATCTGGACTAACTGAACCACTGGTCTTAGAACTTGCTCCCAGCATATCAGCCCCATCTACAGAAAAGGTTAGAATAGTTAACTAAAGCATAGTATATTTCAATACAATTCAATAGTACTCAATTCAAAGCTTTTCAACAAGACCGTTGTACCCAATTATATTCACTTCTGGGTCCAAACTGTGCTGTATCGGTGTTCCTGTCTACAAATGAATTTATTTACTGCAGTATATGGGTACATTTTATTATAACTGTTTGCTGCAAGTGCCATTTATTGTATTTAAATAAATCAATGAACCATTAAAGTCAAACTTGTTCATCTTATCAATTCACAATACTATCAAACATATCTGTAGGTTTTCATGTTAGATTTATGACATTCAACATATACTTGATTATCAAAATATGAAAATAAAGAAAGCACGTTGCATAAGAGCCCTTCTTTTATTTAGCAATATATTCCAGTCTCACAGGACTATGCAACTAAATCAAAAAACAGCAGTTTTGAACCTAATGATACTTTTAGATCACATGGGGAGAAGGAAGATGGTGCTGCAATTTCTCTGGAAACTAACATCTATTGTTCCTGCAGTCAAGCCTCAACATTTTACCCAACATTCAATCTCCATCATAGATATAATGTCAGAATATCTGGAACAACACTTAGTGATTTAAAAAAAACACCCACATATCCTTCTCCCACAACACATTTATATCAAATGCAAGGATTATTATTATTATACAGGCCAACTCCGTTATAACGAGGTGCATGTGTCCAGTATCTCAGAGGTTACGTTATAACAAAGTGAGAAATAATGGCCATCTTCCAAAATTATCAGGTCATTGGTTGACGTCACTTAAACAACAATTTACATTTATACAGCACCGCACCTTTCATTTCAGGAGTAGCCCTGAAAACACAACTCGCAGCTGATTAGGAACATAAACAGAATGGGGGAAAGGAAGAGGTGCTGAAAACATTTGAAAAGATTGGTCTTAAGGCCGGTTTTGAAGGTTGGAAAGCTGGTGGCAAGACAGAGGGACTCCAGGATGGAGTTCCAGAGAATGAGAGCAGAATACCTGAAAGTTCGTCCACCGATGATAAAGCGAACTGAGCAGGGGACATGAAGCAGGCCGAAGTTTGCTGAATGAAGAGAATGGTTGGAGCAGTAGGGTCGTAAAAGTAGGATGGGCCAGACCATGCATGGATTTAAAGTGAGGACAAAGTTATTGAATTAATTCTCTGAAAGATGGAAGCCAATGGAGCAGAGTAAGGATAGCGATGATGTGTTCGCAAAGCCTGATGTGAAGGCAGAGATGTCAGTAGCACTTTATGTACATAGTGTACATGTATGTACATCAGTGGCGATCAGTCAACCTGAAAATCAAACTTTTTTAGTGGGCAATTTGGCTAGTCTTTGGAACGCTTTGGGATGTCCTCCCGACATGAAAAGGGCTATACAAATGTAATTTTTTTTGTAACATATTGTAGTCAGAGCCAGAAACTAGAATACGGTATAATGTGGGTCCAGAGTAGACCCAAGTTTCTAAGCGAACCCATGGTCAACCAGGCCTGCCTGTTTGCAGTTTTTAAAGTATTAGCTTGAAAATTTACACAGACCAACTTACCAGTTGCCTTTTTTGCAGATGCTCGAAGGCCCTCAAAATCAGCAAAGTCATCCTTGGCTGCCCCATTCAATGTGGTGAAGAGATCAAAATTTGTACTTCCTGTGGGGCAAGTAGAGAAGAGTCACAGCAGATAGTCTAAACTTATTTAAAGTCAAAAGCAATATTCAGCACATTACAGTATCAGCAAAGGCCCCACCTTCCAGAGAATTAAATATCTGAATGCCTCATAATATCATAAAATCATAAAATTATACAGCACAGAAGAAGGTCATTCAGCCCATCGTGTCTGTGTCGATTCTTTGAAAAGAGCTATCCAAATCAATTCCATTCCCCCGCTCTCTCCCCATAGACATGCATACTTGTCTTCCCCAAATATCCTGGTAGATACTTATGCTGAATCAGGTGCAAAAGTACAAGTATAACATGGTCCATTTACCAGTATTGATATCCTTAAGTTGAAAATAAAACTCACGAATATAAAAATTCCTTCATTAAATCAATGTAGCTATTTAAGTAGACATTTTGTGCCATGTCAAAAAAATTGTACACAACTTTTAAAGGTAAATGAGACATCTATTTGATCCAACTTCAAAAGATAATCAAATAGAATATAGAAAGTACAGAGAACTGAAAAGGATATAACAGGGGCAAAGAGAATGTATGAGAAAAGATTAGCGGGTAACATAAAAGGGAATCCTAAGATATTTTATAAGCATTTAAAGAATAAAAGGTTAGTCAAAGGTAGGGTGGGTTCAATTAGGGACCAAAGAAGAAATCTTCTTGTGGAGGCAGACATACTGAATGAGTACTTTGCATCTGTCTTCACAGTAGAAGAGGGTGCAACCAATACCACAGTATCGGAGGAGAGGGTAGAGAAATTGGATAGGATGAGAGTAAACCGAGAGTAGGTACTAAAAAGGTTGTTGGCACTCAAGTAGATAAGTCACCCAGTCCAGACAGGCTGCATCCTAGGTTACTGAGGGAAGATGAAAATATGGCTTTGGCCACAATCTTTCAATCCTCCCTGCACACAGGGGTGGTGCCAGAGAACTGGAGGGTTGCAAATGTTGCTCCCCTATACAAAATGGGGCAGAAGGATAAAACTGGAAACTATAGGCCAGTCAGCCTAACATCAGTAGTGGGGAAACGTCTAAAGATTAGAATCCGGGACAAAATAAATTTTCATTTAGAAAAATATGGGTTCATAAAGGACAGCTAAAACGGATTTGTTAAAGGCAAATCGTGTCTAACAAACCTGACAGAATTTTTTGATGAGGTAAGGGAGAGAGTGGATGAAGGTAGCGCAGTTTATGTGGGTTATATGGATTTTCAAAAGGTGTTTGATAAAGCACCACATAAGAGACTTGTAAGGAAAATAGAAGCCCACGGTATTAAAAATTACAGTGGCAGCAGATACAGAACTGGCTGGGAGACAGAAAGCAGAGAGTAAACTGTTGTTTTTCTGACCAGAGGGAAGTGTACACTGGTGTCCCCCAGGGGTCGGTATTGGGACCACTGGTCTTTTTGATCTATATAAATGACCTGAACTTAGGTATAGGGAGAACAATTTCCAAGTTTGCAAATGATACTAAGCTGGAAAAGTAGTAACCAGTGAGGAGGATAGTAACAGACTGTAAATGGACACAGACAGACGGGTAACATGGGCAGACACGGGGCAGATGAAGTTTAATGTGGAGAAATGCGAAGTGATGCATTTTGGGAGGAAGAATGAGGAGAGGCAATATAAGCTGATGGTACAATCTTAAAGGGGGTGAAGAAAAAGGTAGACCTGGGGGGTCATATAAGTAAATATAAATAAAGTAAATTGAAGGTGACAAGATAGGTAGAAAAAAGTTTTATAAATAGGGGCATAGAATACAAGAGTCGGGAAGTTCTGATGAACCTTTATATAAACATTGGTGGGGCCTCAGCGAGAGACTGGGTTCAGTTCTGGGCCCCACACTTTAGGAAGGAGGTCAAGGCATTGGAGAGGGTGCAAAGGAGATTGACCAGAATGGTACCAGGAATGAGGGGCTTCAGTTATCAGGAGAGGCTGGAGAAGCTCGGATTATTCTCCTTGGAACAGAGAAGGTTAAGAGGAGACTTAATAGAAGTTTTCAAAATTATGAGGGGATTCGATAGGGTGAACAAGGAGACACTATTCCCACTGGCGGGTGGGTCGGTAACCCGAGGACACCGATTTAAAATAGGGGAGGTGAGGAGAAATTTTTTCACACAGCGACTTGTTCATATCTGGTGGAAGCCAATTCGATAACAACTTTTAAGAGAGAAATGGATAATTATTTGGGGAGGGCAAGTTTGCATGGGGAGAGCGTGGGGAAGTGGAATTGATTTGGATAGCTCTTTTCAAAGAACCGGCACATACACTATGGGCCAAATGGCCTCCTTCTGTGCTGTATAATTCTATGAACTTTAGTCTTACCAGTGTTCACAGAAGCTAATGGAGATGTTCCCCATGGGTCAGCTGAAGGTTTCACAGCAACAGATGAGACCTGTGAGGAAGTCCATGGATCGATATTTGTAGGAAGTGACTGGGTGGCCAAGGAAGCAGAAGTACCCCAAGGATCGATGGCAGTGGCTTGATTGGTACCTAGAACATCAGAGAAGCCAAACTAAAGCATTTTAATTCCCTTAAGATACAGAACTGAAAAATAAAACAAAATATTAAATGGATCACACAACACTTGAGTAACAAAAGTGGGGAATGACTCAGATCTCCAGTTATAAAAATAAGGAGGTTATTTCCATTGATAGATGAGTCTGTGACTAGGGGGCATTGTTTTAAGATGTACAAGAATAGCAAAATGAGAATTTACGATTTTTTCCACCCAGAAAGTTGTTGGGATGTGGAATGCTCTACTGATTAGGGGGTAGAGACAGAGTCTATTGTATGGGAAGCAGACAAGCATATGAAAGAGAGGGGCTTGAAGAGATATGGGGATAAGGGGGGTAGTGGAACTGAAGTGATCTCCTTATACTGTGAGCCGGTACCGACTTGATAGGCCAAGCGATTTCCTTCTATTGTTGTAGATTTCTGTTTCTACAAATCACATCAGCAACAGAGCGCTAAGCTTTTCTATATTTTCAAATATAGATGTTTTACACATTCAAATTTAGTTTGGTAATTGCTCTGCAGAGTTAAGTCACAATTCACTGTTGCTGTCAGATACATAGTTTTTTGTAGGTCAGCCAGGTGTTTAACATGTGCAAACCCATCATCAATTTAAGAGTACCCAAACCAGACAGGGTTTAACATATGTAGGCCATCTATACTTGGGAAACTGCCCGTCGTAAATGGGCACTTGCATTATACATGTAATCTTACCAAGTGATTGCCATGGGTCAGGTGCTATTGGACTGCTGGTTCCTCCCCATGGGTCATTTTGTTCTGCGGGGACAGTTACTCCCCAGGGTTCTGTTTTTTGTCGTGGTGCAGTAGGCACAGCATCCATAAGATTAAGCAATGGTGTCTGCCATTTAATAGGAAAGGAAGAAAAAGTTTCTTTAGTATTGTCAGAAGCTTTATAAGAAGGAAAAGGGTATTTTAAGTTTAAAAAATAGCTTTAATGATCTGATACAGTATATATTCAGTCACCATTTCAATTCATTAAAATAAAGCTAAATAAATTGTTATTCATTTTGAACTGGAAAATTATATTTTTTTCAGGGAGAGAGGCCAAGCCACCCCATTATTTATTTCTGTATCCTGAAGATCTATAATGTGGACAGGCAACCTAACCCTCACTGTAAGCTGGTGACTAGATGTGTGAAAGCGGGCCAAAGGTTAACTGTTCCTTCCAGTGACTGACATAACATCTCATTTTACAGCAAGGATGCGATTGAGGACTCAGCTAGTAAGAAATCTTGGCATGCATAGATCTCACTTGGACTGTTCTATTGCATAATACCAGCTATTATAATCTATTATATATTGATATTATAATCTATCCTGATTATTATAAATTGATATTATAATTATCTTGATCAGATTTTTTAAATGCACATTTGGATAAGTAATTCACTATTGCTAAGTAATTCAAGAGAAAAGTTTTACTTGAGGAATTAACAGCATATTCACAATGAACTATGAACAAAAATTAAAGATGCAGAAATATCAACAGTTTTTAAATTATTTTTAAGAGTAATTGTGTTCCTAAGAAATCGTCCCCACAAAAAGATAGATGCGCTCTGGGACACTACCCTGCGTGAGGACACTGTATAAATGCAAGTTGTTATTCTCCTTAATAAAGACTTCTTTTAAAAAACAAGAGAATATTCACATTAAACGTAGACAGCTTTAATCTCACCTTTTTCTTCTTTCGAGCTGTGTCTCCTCCGGATAGAGATGTATTTTTGCGACTTTCCTCTAAAGCCATCTGAAGTCGAAGATCATCACCACGGCGAATGCGGTCCTCCTGACCAGGAATACATCCATAATTATGAACAATTTTTACAAATTACAGTGCAATGCAAATCACCCGATTATGATGTGCGTCAACATTTCTCAGTGTAACTTTAAGGTGAATTATTAAATATGTTACTATACAGGAAATCAATTTTCCATCAGATTAATTCACCACAATCCAAGCAAAAAAGTGAAAACTATTTTGACTTTAGATTTCGTCAACAAAGAAGATAAAAATTATCATGAATGGTCTGTGTGAGAAGCTGAAAAGGGCATGCTACAATATCCCTATCATTGATTTGATTGCATTAAATGTCTACTGAGCAAATCAAAGCACCAACAAGAATGGATAAAATAGTTGCACGTTAGCATTTTAAATTGCTCAGTACACAAAAAATCTATTTTATGCTGGTCTGTTAGGTTTCCTTTCTTTAATATAAATAAATTATAATCTATTAATTCAATACAGAATAGGGAAACAAACTGTTCACTGAATTTATTCTTGTATCGCCTAACCAAGTTTTATTTCCGCCCATAAAATTTTTGTTTGTTTTTCCAAAAAATCTTATCCAATAAAAATATAATATACTATATTCCTGAAATAAATTATGTTGTATGCCTCTGTCTCTTGTGGATGGGACAGGTGTGGCAGCATACCATCTGAGGTTCCTTTAGCCATTGCTGAACATACAAGCAAAATCTACCTATTCTGATAGACTAAAACTCCCCATCAGACAAAGCTGAACTGGATTTTCATAAATACAACTTCAAGGTACATCTTATAAATATTCAAAGTTTTTCAGTAAATTACACCCTTTCTAGTTAGATTACAAAGCATCAAACACAATACTTTTTTTAGCTTAAGATCATAAAAGACCTGGAAACTAAGTTAATATATACACATTAATAATAGCATTTTATCTACACTTCTAACTCTTAATATGTCACACCTGTGGGAATGAAACAATGCAAGTTGTTTTTACTCCAGACATCGTGTCAGTGAGATTAAGAACCCAACAATGAGACAGATAATGTACAAGACCCCACTCACTATGTGCACTGCATTGACTTTCATAACATCACCAGTTTGAAGCACTTTAATAAGCATTAGCTGCAGTGTTTCTAAACTGCCCCACAAAAATAACACTTTCTAACTAAAAATAAAGGTTAAAAGTTGTTAATTTAAAAGGTCTGAAGAAAACCCATAATTATTACATATTTTAATGTTTATTGTAAAAAATCCATTCTAGGTCTACTATAATAATAAACACAAGTGTGATTATTTTTTAGTCATCTTGCTTTAATCAATTAATTGATGACTATATTATGGCAGAGGTTAGGGTGTAAAACATAGTTGAAAGGGGTGGGGCTACAGCTAATTATTATGTGCGCTGTACCTGTTCTGCTGCTTCCCTGCTCATGGCTAAAGCTAACTGCAGCTGTAGCTCTTCCTCTCCACTTGTCTGGGGTCTTGCCTGCTCCAGCTCCGAAGAAGCTTGTGGAGAGGTTGCTAAACAGAAAGAAGAAGAAATACATTAAAATTAAGAATTAGGAAACGTTACATTTAATCTGCCTGGTATCAAACCACCTCATGCATGTGGATATCAATATACGTGCTCATCGACTAAAGTTAATGGGTTGCTGTAGTCTTTTGAAAACAGTTTTGATGTGGGGAAACAATATAAACACTCGAAAGGAACATGTCTTACGCATATGGTTAGTTGTACTAACAGCTTCCGACACATGTCACCTACAAGCAAGAAGATTTCTGCAACAAAAATTTCAAATAAATCCATTTCCTCAAACATTGCGCTGTTGTCGTTGACTTCTAACTTGTATAATTGATCACAGAAACATTTTAAAAGCACCGTTCTCTCATGCCTGAACATTAATGGGCAACTGTAGCTTTGTCTACAATCTAACATATTTATTGGAAGAAAAATGATTGCTGAAAGATTAACAAAAACAATTTACAAACATGGTATTGACAATATCTGGATCTATCTAACATACAAAGGAATTACAGCTATTCTTAATTATAATAAATGAAAAACATAAGGTAATTAATAACTACGTTCTTTTTTTAAATTGGTTGTACTCTTAAACGGCAAATGCAATTCAATGTAGAAAAGTGTGAGGTGGTACATTTTGGTAGAAAATAAAAACCTAAATAATAATAATAATCCTTGCATTTGATATAGCGCTTTTCACGTCTTCTAGACGTCTCAAAGCGCTTTACAGAATAGAGTGTAAAGTGAATTGACTGTGGGCAAAATGCGGCAGCCAATTACACACAGCAGTGTCCCAAAAACAGTCGTGCATTGAAATGACTAATTTATTATATTTTTGAGGGATGTGTGGAGTAAGGAAACTTGCCCTAGGTTTCATCCTGCTGGGAATCGAACCCAGGTCTCTCGCTTGCAAAGCGAGTGCTCTAACCACTGAGCTACAGGACTCCACTGGGCTAGAGGAGCAAAGGGATCTAGGGGTACACATACACAATTCATTAAAAGTAGCAAAGCAGGTTAATAAGGCCATAAAAAAGCCAAACCAGACATTGGGGTTCATTTCTAGAGGGATAGAAATGAAAAGCAGGAAAGTTATGGTGAACTGCTATAGAACCTCAGTTAGACCACACTTAGAATACTGTGTGCAGTTCTGGTTCCCATGTTATAGAAGGGATGTAGAGGCACTGGTGAGGATGCAAAATATATTCACAAGGATGATCCCAGAACTGAGAGGTTATGTCTATTAGGAAAGGCTGAACATGCTTGGACTCCTTTGAAAAGAGGGTAAGGGGTGGCCTGATAGAGGACTTTAAAATGATGAAAAGTTTTGATAGGATAGACATAGGGAAGATGTTTCCACTTGTGGGGGAAGACCAAAACCAGGGCCATCAATATAAAATAGTCACAAATAGATCAAATATGGAAGTTAGAAGAAATTTCGTCACACAGAGAGTAGTGGGAATGTGGAACATGCTACCGCAAGGAGTTGTTGAGCCAAATAGCAAAGATGTATTTAAGGGGTAGCTGGATAGGTACATGAGGGAAAAAGGAATAATAATAATAATCCTTGCATTTGATATAGCGCTTTTCACGCCTTCTAGACATCTCAAAGCGCTTCACAGAATATGCTGTAAAGTGAATTGACTGTGGGCGAAACGAATAGAAGGTTATGTTTGAAGACTTAGTTGAGGAAGGGCATGAGGAGGCTCTAATGTATTCTTTTCTTTCGCTGTCAGTTACAGAATTAAGGGAACTGACAATTCTTTCTGTTCCTGGGTATAGTGGTACATGGTTTACACAACCCAAAAATTAGATCCCACTACACTGATATTTATTAAACTATTTTGTACATTTCAATTTGCACTTGGTCCTTTTTCTTCATTTTTTGTTTCTTTAAAGTTAAGATTAAATAGATCTAGCTTTTAAATACCGTAATAAAATTTAGCAATAGAGCCTGGGAACAACATTTGAATAATTATGAAATGGCACTGTGAAAGCAGTGAAACAGGGTGGAGGAAAATCTAAACCAATCAGCACTATACCCAAAATAAAAAATAGACATCATTGTTAAAATGGGTACCTCTTTCTTTTACAGATGTATTGCACTTCAAAAATCCACTTAAGAATCTGTGCAAGTATTGTATCTCCTAGGTCTTTTGAACAAATAACCTACAGTATTTATTTTGTGTACTCATTTTAACCCCCAACCCTAAACCCAAGCAACAGACAATCAAACATACTAATCCAAAGATTATTTGTGCACTGGATTCTCCATTTACATCTGAAGGGCAGTTTAAATATAGCATCTTTCTCCTTTAGTATATTGGATTACAACCGGCCACGTCTGCATTGCTCCTCAATCGAGATTACCAAAACACATAGGCCTGCTTTTATTATCTGTATTTACTCTTAGGAACATATTTCCAACAAGACATTTGGAAGTACACAATTTCACAAACACACAAAGATACATGTATTTGTTCAAAGATAAAAGCGTAGGAAGGGGTTGAGACAGAGATGGAGTTCCAGAGAGCGGGGCAGAATGGGCAAAAGCTCATAAGGCAACTGGACAGGAACATGAAGGGTTTGCTGAGCGCCGGAGCACAAGTAAGATTGCAGGAGGTTTATAGAGATAGGGTGGGAAAGTCTGTGGAAGGATTTGAATACAAAAACAAGAATCTTGAATTCAACCCACTGGAGGAGTGAGTGGAGCCGAACAATGTGTACATCAGAGCAGTCTGATAAAGCCATAATAAAAATATATTCTGGGGGGAAAAAAATTCTTCCTCTACCTGCAAAGTTTGACTCCTACTGAGCTTACAAGTACTAAAATGTTACCAGATACCAGGCTATAATGCTCTATGGGTTGATATTCCACTTGGCAATGAATTTCTCCATTGTTAAGTATTTATGTAATGCCAACCAGAATTCAGTTCTTCTGGAATCAAACTTTGGGCATTCCTTCTCTATCTTGCTCCAGACACATTACGTTTATATCCTGTTTAAATATGTTCATGTTTAAATATAGCATTGCAGCGTTTGAGCGCTTAACAATACTGTAGTTTGATATCAAACCAGGGAGAAAGAGGTGGCCATAGGCATAGTCGTAGAGGAAAGTCTTACGTCTTAAGACCCATCACATGAAACTGTTGATTAACAACAACTTATATAGTGCCCTCCACGCAGAGGTAGCGTCTCAGAGCGTTTAACAGTCGCAAAGTCTGAGCCGGGGGGGGGGGGGGGGGGGGGGGGGGGGGGGAGTAGGGGAGGAGGGAGATGAACGTCAGCATGGCCGAAAAGGTTTTCAGGCGGAACTTGATAAAGGAGAGAGGGGGGGCAAGGTGGAGGGATTGAGGGAGAGTGTTCCAGTTTTGGACTGTAGTGGCTGAACTGGTGGAACGGAAGGTGTGAGGGATAAGTAGGAGGCTGATGCCAATCGAACGGAAGCGTCGGGTGGTGGAATAGGAAGTGAGGAGGTTGAAGAAGTAGGGAAGAGCTAGGGAGTGAATGGATTTGAATACGAGTGTGAAGATTTTGCACAACTTCTACCAAAGTTGCCTGCAATTCGAACTCATGCAACTCATATTATATGTTACAGTCCCGACTGATACGACTTGTGAGTTTTAATGTATAACTATAAAATAATTCCCCAATGTAGAAGCAGACCACCAAATACATGTCCATGTGTGCCACTAACTTGTCAACCAGCTACTAATATTCTGGATCCAGTTTGGTGCACATATGTCAATTGTACACATACGGTACCACATCAGGACTCTAACTCAGCTACAAGATTGATTTGGTAAATGAGTAGCAACTCTCTCAAAACTGCAGGATAATGCTTGTTAAATAGCAAAACACTGGTTAAACAATTCTAAAAAGAACAGAACTACAATATTTGCTGACAAAGGGATTCAAATCAGGAATAGAGAAGATTACAAATGAATATAAACTGATACTATGAAGTTAAATTGATTTTAAGAACATAAATCTATAACGGATCAGGACAAAGAAATAGAAGCAAAACGAAGGGGCCATCCTTTGAACAACAGAGTGTAGAGGAGTAGGGTGTGAGCAGATCGGAGGTAGGGCATGAAGTGATTTGTGGGGGAGTATGAGAATCCTGAAATCAATCTGTTCAGATCGATCATTTTCAGTTTTGAAAGATGGTGGGGAATGGTTTCCCTGTTTCAAGTTATAAAGCATAAATTTAAGTTGAAAGTTTTGAGTTACAAAGAGTAAATACTGATGGTTAAGATCTCAAGTACAGTAGGCAGTCATTTTCTGAAAGTACAGTAATCAGAAAACTCCAGCGGAAGCTACATTTACTATTCTAGAAACAACTCCACAACTAACGTGATAAAAAAATGAATGTAATATGAGCCATGTAATGTAGGTCAATGTTTTTAGGACTATCTGCCTGTTTGAACAAAATTTGTATGATATTTATCACAAATATTTAACTCTCAGCTGCCATTGAAAACTTAAAATAAATACAATTTTACAGTAAAGATCTGGTTATTCTCAACAAACCTGCAACTGCATCAAAATAGTTAATCTTACTAACATGAAAATCATATAATAAGGATATTGGGCCACAGCTATTCAGGTCACACCAATAGTCCTTCCCAAGAAAATAATATAATTAACCAGAAACTGAAGGTTTCCCTTCCATACATAAAATATAAAAAGTCTACATAGTACGATATGGTGAGATTGTAAGGTAATGCTCTATTGGAGTTCAGCAGGAAGCTATACACTACTCAAAACAATGTTTGAGTGATGGAAAGTCCAGTTTCTGAGCCATTCCATTTGCTGTGTCTTACCCTCACATAATTAGTCCTAATTACATGGTGTAATTAATTCACCCTTGCATTTGCAAAAATACATAGTAAACACAATTTGTATCAGCATTGAAAATATCAACCACACAAGCTTCTACAATTTACATTATAGTGTACAATACTTCAATGATGTACTTTCCTGATGGTAAATTCTGTAAAATCACCACCCTACCCCAAAGAATGATAAACAGCACTCTTCAGACATAGCAGGTTCCATAAACGGAATAGATTTTTCTTGTTCCTATATTCCTAACTTCAGACTGTCAATAATTTATATCATCAGATATTTCTTTTGATATAGGGGTGCACACAACTGCTCATTTTGACTCCCACATAAAATGGATGAACACCATAAAATGGAGGTAATCTTGAAAAGTCATTCAACTGGTTTTTAAAATATTACATTTAAGAATTATTTTAAATCCACAAATGGTTCTAAATAAACTTTGATAATACAGTTCATTATGTTCCATCTTGCTGCACACTGAAGTCAAAGGTCACTCACAGTTTATCCTCTGCAATAAAGTAGAACTCTATTGTGAGACAGTTGTACGCATATTGATGCATTCCAAATTTGACATGTTTAAAGCCTTACTATTTACATACATCTAAATCATTGTGGTGCCTAGCTCGTAGGATGAAGTACTTTGAGATGTTCTACCAATATGAAAGGCACTATATAAATGTAAATTGTATTGTATATTTTTATGGAAAACACAAGAACCAGCTGCAGGGAGGGTGGTCTCCAGCCAACACTGTCCTTTCTTTGAGCACCTTGGAGGTGGAGTCGGCTTTCAGGGGGTACACCTATTGACCAAAGCTCCTCACATGAGGACCCAGATTAAGCAGCTGGTGCTGAGTAAGCCTGGAACACGGACCTTGAGAACATCAAGGTGGCACATCACAAGCTGTTCTGTAAAGATCCTCCCATCTCCTTGGAGCTGAATTGGCTCCAAAGTGACGTGTTTGACAACGGAATGTCAGAATCGTGTCAACCCTCTGTGGCAGTCCAGCTCCACAGAATTCCAAGAAACTACTGATGACAGCAGACATAAATATCTCTGGAATTTAGATTTACAGGTAGGATCCATGGATCTCTCAGTTTGGTTTGGATACTCTTAAGCAAGGCCATAGGTTTCTATGTGTGTCAGATACCTGGCTGACCCCAAAATATTGATCAGTTAGATTTCAAACACCTTGCTGACCTCTTCTACAACTTTATTTGTCCATTCTCTGAATCTCTCAACCTGCAAGCTTTGAGTGCCTAGACTCATCCAAAACCATAGCATAGGTTTCTACATCAGCCACATTCAGCTTCAATTAAAACAACATAGATGGATAGAGATCCGATCTATACAAATGAATAATCAATAAGGTATCACACAAGAAGGGAACTACATCTAATTTCCTGAACATTTCTAATATGGTTGAAAACTTGAAAAGTTTGGATCGAACCTATTCGAGACCCAAATAAAAGTTACAATCCAGGCCACAATCTGCTTCTTCATTGTTTAAGCATGCAATGTTTCCAATAATTATAGTCATGCCAACAAACCCAATGTACCTCCCTGAAAACTTTCTGTATAAATGAATGGATATTCAGATGTCACATCCTTAATCTCATATTTGCATGGATATTGAGCTCATTGTTGTAGATTTATAAGAAGTAAACTTGCAGGAAAGCCTGAAATTCTATGCACTGCTGCACTTTTAAATGCAATCTCAGCTATTTCTCCGTTTTACAATTCTACCCCCATACACTGAAATGTAGAGTTTATCTCAAAACTTGCAGATTACTCCATTTGTACAATGTTCATAATAATACTGTACCCAAACTTACCAGCATATAATTGCAAGCACCAGGAAGAAATTTAAAGCATTATGGACAACATACTTACAACCATGGTATGAAGCAGGTGATCCTCCTGATTTTCCATACTCGTGTTCTGAATAGCTTGTAGAGAGGTTAGGCTGGCTAGACCCACGACCAAAAGTAATCTGGTTACTGCTTCCTACTCCTGTGGCTACCTGAGCCATACGTTCCTTTGTCTTAAGAGCTTGGGATCTTTCAGATTTGAGACGCTCATCGTCCTTCAGCAAAGCCACAAGCTGCTTTGACTTCTCTCGCACATTTATGCCTTGGTCTTTGCCATCACGATCAATATACTGGAAGTCTTTTAGGGTCTGAATGGCAAATATGTTCTCTTTGCACTGCTGTGCAACTCTTTCAGACCCAGTTTTTATCATATAGTCTAACAATGTCAGAGCCTTGTAGACATGTCTCCAATTCTTGCCATGATCATTGAGACGTTTCCAGATCATGCTCATTATTTCTGAGAATGCCACAACATTGTAGGTTAGGTCTGCTATTTCAGTCATCAAGGAACTTGAAGGTCCCCAGGGGTCATTGGAGGTTGCTTCACGCACTTTAATTTCAGCTTCAGAATAGTTGTTTACTATGTTTTTCATCTGTCGTCTAATAGCTGATGTCGTCATGATGGATCTCTTCACAAGAAGCAGATCTACTAGAAAAGGTCTTTTAAAGGAACTTGTCTGATGTTAAGAGAATTTTTTAATGAACACTTTTCTTTCGGAAAGAAGACTCAAAGTTCTTGTATTAATCAACTCAAATCTTCTGGCAAAATCATTTCCTCCTTTCAAGGGATAACTTGCTGTATTAGGAAAATTACCTGCAAAATAAAGTAGTTTTAAATTAATTTGTTTATAATGAAATTGTACATAATGTTTTAATTAACAGATTAGTTTTACATAAAGGTCAACATTTTTAAGGGAATCCATCAACACCGAGGAGGTTTCGACAGTTTGCAAACAGCCAAATCCAATTTCTCTCTTCAAAGATGACATTAAAGCCATAAGTAGTAAGACAAACCAGGCATTACCTCAATAGAAAAACTAATAAAATCAATAACCTAACGGTTGACAGAAACAAAACAACTTCAGAAGGATCTTACTTAACCAACCTCAGACATTTCAAAGATGATAGTCCAAACTGATACTAGAGAAATATGTACCTAAATTTCCAAAAGGTGTTTTAGATAAAACAAATAACAGAATCTCAAAAGAGACTTCCTTCAAACTGTGAGTAGATATTAAGGCATGAAATTGGTGTGGATTAATAGTTGACTAAGGGAAGGATGCCCTTTTACACTTGTAAAAGCGATGAAAATAGCAAGATGGTAAAATGGTTGCCTCAGGGATTTGTGCTGAAGAACACATTTTACCATTGCATCATGTACAATTCCGACTATGCTAATGAGGAAGAGTGAATCACATCCTCAAATTACATTTAAATCTGTATTCTACAACCCCACTCCTTCCACTCAGATACCATTAACCTGCTTCATATTCCTCACCTAATCTGCCCACCATCGGCAAACGAGTTTTCAGACATTTCAGCAGTGTCTCCTTGGAGCTGAACTGGCTCCAAGGTGACATGCTTGCCAACGGAATCTTGAATTCGAGCCAGGGTATCGGTAGTCTGATTCTCTAACGCACTGCTGATGACAGCACTGGCTCATCGGCAGGATTTGGAAGAGCAGACCAGTCACTGGGGGCAGGAAATCTTCACACTCAGCTCCTGTTAACCCTGCAAGCCAAAGCTCTAAGTAAGGTGGTCCTAGCTGGACAAGCAGCGAGAAAGCTTGCCAGATGGTGCTATCAATGACAAAGACAACGTTAGCTGTTTAGACTCACCAGTACCTCTACGCGGACTCTGGGGTCTCATTCCAACCTGCACCTAATACTTCCCGGAATTAGGTAAGCAGGATCCATCCCTGAGGGACTATGCATTCTATTCCAACAGTCTCTCTGAAACTTCTATGTGTAGGTGGAATACATGGAAATCTCAGTTTGGTTTGGATAAGATGCACTGTAAAGTGTAGTGACTTTGTATTTTGAAGGCAAAACACAGCAGCCAATTTGTTGCCAGCATCATCCCATAAACAGCTATAAAGTGAATAAATAATTTTATCTGGGGGAATACTGTATTGGCCAGGACACCAGGAGATTACGCAATTGCTGTGCGCATTTGACTGCCGCGTTTCTTCCATAAATATACAGTAAATTCACTTTACAGTATATTCTGTGAAACGCTTTGAGATGTTTAGAAGACGTGAAAAGTGATTTTTTATTTATTTTAAAAGCCCTTCTCTTTTTGAGAAGTGCCTTGGGATATTTAACATCGACCTAAATAGGCAGATGGGACTTCGATTTAAACTATGATCTGAAGATTGTTGGTATTGGGAGTGCAGTCTAGACTAGTTCAAAATCCCAATGTGAGGCCACAACCTTCGGATTCAGAGACAAGGGTGTTACCAACTGAGCCAGGCTGGTTGAGGAAAATGCATGGGAATTGTAGGAAACTAATTTTGACCCACAATGTCATATACTATCAATTATTGAGTAGTAGAATTTTCCTCAAAAATTGTAAATATTAAAATGTATATTTTTATTTTACTCAACATACACAGTTGATAATTTCACTATCCACAGCAACAATATTTCACGTACCTGAAAAATCAACAACAACTTGCATTTGTATGGTACCCTTCATGTGGGGTAGCGTCTTAGAGCACTTAAAAACAATTATTTTTATGTAAAATTACTACTGACAAATGAGACCAATGATAATTCAGACAAATTTTGTTCACATACTTATCTTTAAAAATCTTAATCCCAGTTTAAAAATTAACTTATGAGTACATTAAAAGAAGCAGGTATTCTGTTTTATCGACAATGAACAATTCTGTTTTGTCGGGATCTATCTGAAATAAGTGAAAATGCCTTGCCCTTTTAAGTGCATCAGAAACAATTTACCAGAAACAGTTTACAAGAAAGAGCTGACTTAAATAGCAATGTCATATTATATCATTAGAGATAAGAATTTATTGTTTGGGTATTGACACTGGTTTTCTGAAGTGCTCTTATGAAAATCAATGAGGCTCAGTACTGAGAAACATAAATCAGCATTTACTGAACAAATTTGTAATAAAACCCTTTCCAGATCTAGCTGTGAAGTACACTTGTAAAAGTTTATGTGATACAGCCTTAGAACATGCAAGTGTTACCCGAAAAACACTTTATTCCATGTATAAAAGTCCTGAATCTCAGTGGTCAGAGCACAAACGAGACCTGGGTTTGACTCCCAGCAGGGCAAAACCTTGGGCAAATTTCCTTAACTCCACAAGTCTGATTATAATCTCTCAAGAAAAAAAATAATAATCCACGGTTGTTTGTGGGACACTGCTGTGCGCAATTGGTTGCCGCATTTCACCCACAAATATACAGTCAATTCACTTTACAGTATATTCTGGGAAACGCTTTGAGACGATGTCTAATAGACGTGAAAAGCGCTAACTCAAAGGCAAGGTTTTTATTATGATCTGAATATAGGAAGAGAGGAGTACAGGTATTTCCAAGTTGCTGATAACTAGGGAGTAAATGTTGAAAAAGACAACAGAAGATTGCAACAAAAGATATTTCTCATTGCAAGTTAGTGTAACTATAATAGGCTGAGTTTATCACACCAAAGTTTGAGGCAATACACTCAACAACAACAACTTCCATTTACAGTAAACTCCTGATAACTCAGCACTCATGGGAAAAGGGCTCAATGACGCGTTATCAAGAGTGGTGAGACAATTAAGCATACATACAATGCATAAATAAATGCAGCAGGGATATTGACAGCATGATGTCATAAGTGTTGTGTCAGTCCGGTACAGTGTTGTGTCACTCTCGCCTCTGAGTCAGAAGGTTATGGGTTCAAACTCCACCTTGGGTCTTGGAATCACATAGTCTAAGCTAACACTCCAATGCAGTGCTGGGGATGTGTGGCATTGTCGGATGTGTCATCCTTAATGTGACATTAAATTGGGGTCCCATCTGCCTGTTCAGGTGGATGTTAAAGATCCCATGGCACTATTCAAAAAGATAAAGGAGTCTTGGCCAACAATCCCCCAAAATAAAATTGGTCACCAATTTTGGCTGTTTGTGGGACACTGCTGTGTGCAACTGGCTCCCTTGTTTCGCCCACAAGATATAGTTAATACATTTTGCAGTATATCCTGTGAAGCATTTTTACACGTCTCAGCTACGTGATCAGTGCTTTATCAATGCAAGGATTGTTACATGATTATTATTAGTGACAAGTTAAGCCAAGGTCGAGTTATCAGGAGTTTACTGTATATAGCACCCTACATACAGAGCTAGTGGCGGCTACCAAGGACTGGGTGGTGGAAGTGTGGAGTTTGGTATAGGTGAGGATATCGTCAGTGGAGTTTTGAATCAGTTGTACTTTGTGAATGATAAGTGCTGGAGAGTGCATTAGAGAAACTGAGGTGAGAGGTAATGAAATTGGGAATGACAGACACAATACTGTTGGATGTGAATACATTCTGAATGGGAAAGCACCATCAGGAGCAGACGAGCAAAGGATCAATGTGCAGATGCAGATAACAATAAATAAAGCTAATAATGCTTGGCTTTACAATGAAGGCTCTGGAATTTAAAAGCAAGGAATTGGTGCTCCTTTATCAAGGGCTAGTCAAGCTTAATTTGGAGTATGCATTTAGTTTTGGGCACTGAAATTTAAGGAAGATACATTCAGAGGTCATTTGGTTATAATTCAGTAGATTTATACTTGGAACTAAAATCTTATGTACGATGATAATAATAATCCTTGCATTTAATGTATCACGTCTTTGAGACTTCTCAAAGCGCTTCACAGAATATACTCTGTATGATGAGAGGTTGAGTAGATTTGGCATTATTCCTTAAGAGCTTGGGAAACTTCCCATACTCACCCTGTTCTGTTTTCTCACTATGGCACAGGCACACAATCGAAGTAGAATTATTCATCGCTCAAATCGTTTCTCCATTTACTAGGTCCGTCACCTTCATAACTTTTCAAAACAAACTCAGAAGCAGAATGCCATGCCATTTATCTTTGGTTTACCACATCCTTCCTACTTTC